GGCGCCAAGATCCAAACACGGAGTGCAACTTCATTTGGACCGTAAAAGTCGCGATAATTATGTTGTTCTTTAAGGAAAAAAAAACTGACCTTTGAAGATATTACCCACACCGACTTTCGCAGAAAAAGTTTTTGCTATAGAGAGAGTAACTTTAAGGTTAATCTTGATAAATCCACAGTTCACTGAGTTTGTGAGATAAAAACATTATTAATTGAACTTGAAGTCAATACATACCTAAAGCTTTGTAGACAACAACGAAGTTTAAAAAGTACTAACTTTTATCGAATATAGTCGGAGGTGCGACACCATTGAAAGTGATTCATTAGTTTATGTCGTGAACGCTCTGATCATTAAGCAAAATCTTGACATAGGTTGGGCAAACTTGATATATGAGCAGGAGTTTTGAAAATACATCGTGACTCGATTCTTCTGAAAACGTTAAGTGACATATGACAGCCATTATCAGTACGTGGAATTGAAAAAGAGAAGCCGAGAGGGAATATTAAGTTTAATTGAAGAGAGAGGTATTTTTTTGCTTTTTCCATTCGTCTGCCTCCGGGAATTTTTGCTGAGCTGTCGCTAACACATTGAAAGATTCGTTATATATCCAGTTACAACAACTTCTCATCATACTTCTTCTGAGGAAATGATGAAACATTTTTTCTATTCGACTGATGACGTCAAATGAACAAATCGTACAAAGAAGAAATTCTAAGAAACTCAATCATTCTGTTCATTGATTTTACACGCGTTAGGACACTCTAACCTTAAAATATAAAAAAGTTCAGGAAAACAACTGAATTGTTTTTACTGACGTTAATGGTTAATGATATACTTCAGCGTTCCATTCCGGGCGTGTATTACATATTGTTCCCACGTAAAGTGCAGTTTAAATTGGCGCCAGGCCGAAAATAAATTTAGAGAACATTCTCAATTAACGTGGATTCGAACACCAACCTAGCACAAAGAGTCACTACGACTTATTTCACGAGAACATCGACGTGAATTTCTTGCCTTTAATATTTCATTATTTCGCGAATCATATTCATCATTAACTCAACTCACCGCAAAGGAAACGGGCCATAGAAATATATTATCTGTAAAGTCAACTATAGAGACATTGATTTTTACTTAATTTTTTCTTCTTTTTCTAGACTAAGTCACACTTCATCATCACGACTTCAACATCATTATCTCTGACCTAGAGACCTAATTAAGAACAATAATTTCCCACATTATGAGTTAAAACTCGAGATAAGGTGAATTTTTAAAAGATTTTGTTATCTATGACTTTTGCACCAGTTACGATGTTTGGTGAGAACGTCATTCATATGAAGACAGAGGCTCATGATTTCTGCATAAAATGCTAAATATTTAAATAACCCTGATCTATTTCCCTCCATTTTAACATTGATTACTGTGTAACTTCCATATGCAATTAGAGCAAATTTCAGTGAAGTACTATTTCTTCTCCTCTGAGAGAAGAAATTATTATTTTACATTAACTACTTACAAGTGATTGGAAGATGAACGTTGCAACAAATTCAAATTATTTGTATTAATTTGTTCAATAAGCGCATAGCTTGAAGAGAAAAGAAGTTGGGTGCTTACAAAATATTTTAGACATTTCTTTTCAATCAATATGAATTAAAACCAGGATCGTCGCAGAGATGTGGTCAGGCGGAAGAGCAGGGATGTTGGCGTGAATCTCTCCATTAATAAAAATAATCTAATTTATTACTATTATTATTATTATTACAGAACGCTCATCCACTGGAGCTAATCAAGATATTGTTGTAAGAGGAATTATATATTTAAGGAGTGTCTTACACCCCGTGACGTCAAATATTGACCTTACAAATAAGTACAATAATTCAGTTTTGACAAGTGCAATTTACACTTAACATTCCATATTAACATTTTACTTTCTCGCCTTACGAATTCTTCGTAAGAAGAGAAAGTTATGTAATCGTGCGCCAGAAAAGGCTGAAATTTCGCCAAAAAAAAACTTATTGGTTGTAGTAATGAAAAAGTGGATAAATCATGTTGCTAAATTTAGGAAAAAAGTCCTCTAACTCGTAGTGTAGCCAGAATCTATGTTTTGTTAGTTCTTGATACCTAAAAATCGATTGACGGCAAAACCTCTGTCTGTCCGTCTGAACGACTAAACCGTTCAGTCGATTTTCTTCAAACTTGATGTTCCCCAATCAATCTGGCTGATGTCGCGGTCTCTGGAATTTGATACCGATATTTTAATGTTGAGATATTTTACATAAAGGCCCTGGGACATTTTCAAAATTTTCCATAAAATACTCCAATTTTTTTGATTAAATTTTGTTGCTCAATAGTGCAAAGGACGTTTTAGAGAATGATTCTGGTTTCAGATGCGGGAATATCCCCAATTTTTTGAAAATTGCAAAAAAGAAAAAACGTGAAGCCATTTTTGAGAACATTTTGAAAATGTCCCAGGGGCTTCATGTAAAGTAACTAACTAAATATGATGAAAACTAATGAATGATTTTCAAAATCGCAGAGCTTTGACTGAGGCCAAATGAACAGGGGTTTCTTAAATTTGGAAAGAATTCTACGCATGGTTTAGACCCTAGTTTTGTTCACATATACCAGACGGACGGGCGTTTTGAAAACAAAATTTTTTTTTTGGTATCAGGGAACCCTGAAACGTGTATTTCCGTTGAAATCTCGAAATCGATAAGGCCTGAGATTTTCGTAGGGCAGGTTCGCTGGTTCAAGTCTTGGCCGAGAACTATTACTTTTGACAATTCTGTGTTGCCGCAGTAAATAATTGATAATTCCAGAACCTGTATTGAAAACCATTTTAAGCTATTCTAATCGCAAATACGGTTAATCAAGAAAATAAACCGGAAGTGTCTGTATGTGCTTTTCGAATTTACAATTTTTAAACAATTTTTCATTCTTTTATTGGATTTGTAAAACGTATGAACCATCAAATCATTTGTCTTTCGGCGCTTATGACTATTATAGGAGTGTCATTTTTTAGTATAACCCGGATGGCCGAAGTGGTTAAATGTCGGGTTCGGACTTTGCGTTTTGGAGGGAAAGGACCGCTGGTCGAGCTTGGCTCGCGGATAATTATTTGTCACAACTCACCATTGTCGCAGAAAACGATTGAGAATTTCAGAAACTTAATTGAAAATCATTTGAAGCAATTCTACTCCATATATAATCTATTATGATTCCAAATAAATTGGAAGAGTCTGCATGTAATTTTCGTATTTTGAAATTTGAAACAAGTTCACAACTCTCTTGTTCTATTTGTAAAACGTATGTCACATCAAAGCAATTGTTCAATATATTATTCAAATCAACATAATATTGCGGAGCGTTTATAAACATTGCAAAAAAAGTGTGTGGTGTGGTAGCACCACTAGTTTTTAATTTTAACTTCCTTTCTTTATTTTACTTTTCGCGCACCTGATGTGAAATATGTCAACTAGGCTTACACATACTCATTTCAGTAATGGAATAAACGAGCACAAAAATATTTCTAGTAAAATAGAACAGTGATGTTAATCTCTGTTCTTTAAATTATTAATACTTAGAGTTGTAATGTTTTCAAGGAATATTGGTAGTGATGCAAAAACCTGTGCTTTGCAAACTTTTTCAGTTGATATTTGTTAAACTATGATAAGTAAGTGTAAGTATATTACGAGTACTGTATACTGCGCAAGTTTGAACGTATTTATAATGAAAGAAATATTTCATTAAGGAGAAACGAAAATGGCGACGAGATTCGTTGCTTCCATCAGTTCTTAACAGAAGCTATCTAAAAACACGGGTATCATCCTGATATCTAAATCTTGTTTTCTAGGAATGTCCAGGAAGCATATCTTTAAATGCAACAATCCAAAAATGCGTACCGAAGCATTTTCTAGCTTACGTACATTATAATTACTCGTATATTCATATTAGGGCTTCAGACCACACACTAGACCGTATTGCGGAACTCAACGTGGGGGTTAGCAGTGTGCAAGGCTATCGCGAGGTGACGTTTTAGGAACAAACATCCGTACCTATGGAGATTCTTCGGACTGAAGCTAATTCTACGTAATCTGTAGTTGTCTGGTTTCTCTGATCAATACTGATCAATACTGGCGAATGCTGGATGACACACTCACAAAGGACCGTAGCTCGCGCAATTTTTTTCTTCCTCATCCCTGTCCCGTCCTCTTATTTAGTTCCTTCCTTTCTCCTTACTTTTCCACACTTGTCGGGAGCTTAGAGTGTGTCCCGGCTGGCGCTGTGCCCACGTGGGGTAGTCACCTGAAGGCCGGATCCCGGATTATGGATCCCGGACGTATAGATCGGAGCCGGATCCCAGATTCCAGTGAGGACATACATTGTCACTTCTAGAGAAATAACATACACTTATTTGAGGACCACTTAACTTAGAAGTTAACGCCCAGGAATCAAAAACCACTTACTGTATAGTCGTCGTCGTGTTCCGAGTATGCCACAGTAGAGCCCCCGCGGCCCCGGAGCAAACACGCTTTTACGTACTGTGTTAGAGAATGTGCTTCTAATCGTGTACGGATGAGTAGGTACGGTGGTCGTGTGAGTGGGTTCTTGAGAATGTTTAATTCCTCAAATATAATTATATTTCCCATGTCCAATAATGTGTTTCGCGTTTGTTTTTGTGTTTTTTTAAGCGTCAGAGCGCACGTAGAGACGAACCGCTTTCTCTGCAATCGAGAGTAGTGCGCCGCGCACCCGCCAGCGCCCCTGGTGGGTGGAGGTGACTTCCCGGATCACGCCCCTTCGCCTGGGCGGGGAACGCGACCTTCGCGACGGGGGAAGCGGGGTCGGACGCGGGGTCGGCAGCGGGGTCGGCAGGGGCTGTTGGGTTAGGATGGTACGCGACAGGGTGAGAGCTTTACCCTCGCTTGTAATGACTGCTGTTAGACAGCGACTCGCGCTGTCTTAGAATATTGACGTACTTGAGCAGTGCTGCCGCGAATACGATGGTGAGTGCCTGTTTAGGAGCAGAAGTTCGTTGATGACTGCTGATTGGTTTGAGTGGCGTGCGCCCATGTTGGCTCACGACGTTCTCGCGCTGTGGGACCGAAATCGAATGTCTGTTTCCCGTTGACTGGATGTTAGGCTCTCATCCGACCAGATGCAAGGAAAAGGGAACCCTTTACGGTGGTGCGATTGTGGAGCAGTGTTTCTAGAGGAGCGCATGGCACGGATGCAGACAATATGGCGAGGGCAGGTCGACAGCGGATGGTGGGGGGTGGGAGGCGGTAGGGGCACACAGCGCATAGTGGTTGGCGGGGACGGTGTGGGGCAAGGGGGCGGCGGGAGACGGTGGTGGCCAGGGGGCGAAGGAGAGGGGCGGCCTGAGGATGGAACACGCTGCGCGCCGTGCGCTGCAGGGTACGACGGCGTGGGGCGCGAAGCCGTCGGGGCGCCTGCGAGGGACTTTTGTTACGAAGCGTCCTCTGCGGACGGGGGGCGGGGTAGGGTGCGAGGCGGAGGTGACGGGCGGAGGCGGCGGGGTGGGGAAGGCGCGTGGGCGCGGGTGTACGGGACAGTGTGATGGGCGGCAGCGGCGGGGATGGCGGGGCGGAGGAGGCGGCGAGGACAGCGTGTGCGTGCTCTGCGGGTGGCGGGAGGGCGGCGGGATTGTCAGGGCGGGGGTGGCGGCGGCGGCGCGGCACGGGCGGTGCACGACTCACGACCCGCCCCCGTTGGCTATCGCCACGCGCGCAGAAAGAAGCGCAGTTCTTTTTAATAGGAGGCGTCGCGAAACTCATTAGCGCAAACAAACGATCCGCGACCGCACCAGCGCCTTCTTGGGGGCCTGGTTTAAAGGAGAACACCCTGTCTCGAAGAAGGGGTTTAAACTAAACATCGATGCCGATGTTTTCATAACATGAATGTTTTTGTAGAAACATCTATGTTTTAAACATCGATGTATTTGTTTCACCGTGGTGTTTAACATCGATGTTTTGTGATCGATGTTTGTTTCTTTTCCGATGTTTCTGAATGAAAAATGCCATGATCAAAATACTGTAAAAGTTAAAATATGAAATAATACCTGATAGTGACACTTATTCATGTGTTGGAAGGAAAGGAACGCTGTGTGCATTACCTTCATCGACTGAACTCTCTCGCCTGAGATGACTTCTAGCCCTTGTATTTCCTGTTTCTTCACGTTCATTTCGCACGTTGTGAAGTGGTCAGCAATTATGCTGTGGGCGTGGGGTCTGCCCCTTCTTCTCATACACTTATTCAGCGAATTGATTAACACGAACACTGTCGAATTAAATTTTAATGTACACGAATTTAATGTTAGAGGTTACTAATTCAATCTAAAATTATCGATGTTGAAAATCATTGCTGGTTTTTAGTCGATGTATTATTAACATCGATGATTTAATTTTAAACATCGATATTTGCTAACATCGATGTTTAGCGATCGATGTTGCATCATTAGTTTAAGTTGCAGTCCAAGTTGTTTCCATTTGGGAAGAAGGATTGGGCGATGAAGAGGCAATGGGCGATTCTTTCCGCGAACATTCACAAAATATTTGATTTCAACTGTAGCTCCTCTCAAAGAGTAGCTCTTTCAACAGTCAACTCTCATCAATGCACACATTGAAAGGAAGGTATCTCTCAAGATGCCAACGGCATTTTGCCTCCTGTGAAAAACGAGCCAGACTGCAGGCGAGCATCGAGATGCTGAACCCCCAGGACGTTGAAATCGCAATGATTCTCCCCCTCCATTGTCACAGCGACGCGACAGCCCAGATCACCCACATGACTCTGGTCGCGGAAGCCTACGACTTCACGCGACAGGAGTGGCGCTTCCCAAACATGCTTTGAGATATTAGCTAGAACGGGAAAAGAACGTCTTTCATGTTGTTCTTTGTTTCTTAAATATATAGTTTTATACATCACCTGATATTTATAATTATATTTATTCAAGTTAAACATTTTAATACATTATATCCACATGTAGCTTAACGTATTCCGTGATTGAGAGAATTCAAAAATATCTGAATTTCTGGGTTACGGGGAACTGTCCCATTTCCTTCTTCAAATTACGCTTATGTTTCTGATAAAATTGCTCAAGTGTAATATATTATTCTTATATTATATAGTAAGATTTTTAATTACGTATTACGTGGAAAATTATAACGCTTTCAATAATCGTAACCAAATGCAATAAATTCATATTTTAAACAAGGATTAGGCGGTTAAAACACCGACTGAGGTCGCTGATGGCATCAACTAATGTCACTGCAGTAACTCTGATCGGGTGGTCCCGTTGATGGCAGATTTTCAACACCAGGCTAGTTAGCTGAGTCGAATGCAGTCGCTGACTGCAGGAGAATTCTAGCGGCTGGCTGCTCTGGTCGGTTGTTTCCCATGGTTTCTCCGGTGAACACTAGGTGAATACCGGAGCAGAACCCTAATAAACGGGTCACGCGCGGTCTTTCCTTCCTCTTCCTTGTCCTCATCCTCATCCCTTACTTACGAACCTAGACTTTCATGCACTACACTACCTACTCTTGCCGGTAGACTAGCCGGGAGCTTAGAGCTTGTCCCGGCAGGGGGAATTTCCCTGCTGGGGGAGTTGCCAGGAAGCCTTATTATCTTAAACGTCCTTTGCACTATCCAACAACATAATTTAATAAAAAAATGTATAGCATTTTTTTTTAATTTTGAAAATGTACCAGAGGTTTATGTAAAGTATCCCCCAAAATTAAAAAAAATTGGTTTCAGATTCCCGGGTGCGGGACATCACCTGGAACGATTGGGGAATTTTGGAGAAAATCGGCTGAGCGGTTAACGAGCCAACGTTGTGCACAGACAGACGTTTTGCCGTCACGCGATGTTTCGGTATCAAGGACCTACATATCGTGGATTCTGTCTTCGCCACGTGTTAGGGGATTTTTTCTATATTTCGCAACTGGGTTTATCCACTCTTTTTCCTTACAAGGGCCCCGTAAAAAGAGTTTTTGTGTCGAAAATTCGCGATTTTCCGGTGAACGATTACATTACTTTCTCTTCTTACGTTAGTAAGTGCGAGAAAGTAAAAATGTAACAGTAATAAGTATAAACGAAACAAACAGAATTTTGGAAACTTTTGTGGCAATTATTCTCAAAATTGTTAAAATATTGAAATTATTTTTTTTTGCATGATTTCATTTTTTATCTATTATTAATTTTCGGAAAGGAGAAACAGAAAAAATGCCTAAAAATATTTAAATACTCACAGAAGCAACTTCAAGAACCGCAAAATTCAAATACTTCCCATACCATGACAATTGATCGCGAGAAAATAGATTAGGCCTAACTCTAGGTGTAAAGATTTCTTTTACGTAAAGGACACTTCCGTCCCAGGAGAACTATTTTTGGCGTTATGAACCAAATTTTTATTACTTAGAATTTGTTTTATGTTATGTATTACACATCTCTGTCGCTTAAATTTAAGCGCACGTAAATGGTCAGTCGGAAACCTATTTTTTTCGCATTGTTTTTTAAAAACGAAGTTTAATGAACATAATTTTTAACTGCTTATGAGACCTGCGTCTTAAATTTTTTGTTATCATGCCATGCAAATAGTGCGGAAAGAGTGAACTCTTTTTGTTACCTTTGTGTAACCTACATGTTTCGATGAAATAGATACGCAGTTCTTGAGATGAGGTGAACTTGAGGCCTGTCAGGAGCAGTTGGATGAGTAGTTGGAAGAAGTTTAAAGTGATTACTTATTTAATAGTTTATTAATTTAAACCTAAGTTTTGGAGCGCAGCAAGAAAATATTCAAAATCCGTAGTCAGTGAATCTCAACTATGGTGATTATCTCTTAATTCGTCAGGCGCACCAAATCTGATAAGAACAATCCCTCCACCGAAGACACCTTTAAAAGTTTCTGAAAGCACAGGTTGTTGCTCCCAATTATATTATATTGTTTTTTCTTGTTTAGAAAATTGTGATTTAGATATTGACATTCAACATTTACTTTCATTATTCAAAACTCAAACATTTGTCATAACTGTTAATTGTTTCTAATAATAAAGACGTGAAAATGTGCAGAATGGACAAAACTAGTAAAGGAAAGCAAGTATTAAAGTATCATCAAACAATATTTTAACTGGCCGAGTGGACAGCGGAACAGTTAGAGGTCAGTTGTGTGATCTCCTTGCGATACGCAGCGAGTGGACAATCTCTCTCCACTTGCTGGAAAAAATCCAAGAGGAACTTCGAAAAAAGACAAGAGAACTGACTTTTCTATACCTTTGTTTGTAGTTAAAAATAATGATTTGAAAAGGAGGAAGATAATGTATTTTTTTTATGTTTTGGCAAAACTAAGACGACAAAATGTTGAGAACAGAAATAGCAATAAAACATTTTATTGTTGAGGGTTCAAAATTCAACATTTTGAAGATCCATTCAATCTATATGATAAAGTATATAATCGTTTGTATACCAAAATGGGATGCAACAAAACAAATGCAATTTTTGAAATGTATTGAATTGCATAATTTGATATCAGTGCAGCTTACTGTGATAATAATGTTATTGTTGATGAATATATTGTAGACAAGAAGTTACTAAATACCCAGCTATTAAACATAACTTTAAATGAATGAATTTAAATGAATTGGAGCTTGCAATCACTGCCGCAATGTACATTTTGGTTTGAGGTTTCTTCATAAAATTAATAGTAGTGTCAATGCCAAAACGTTTTATTTTCGTCAATGCTACATTTTTATCTGAAAATTAGAACTACATTTTCAACAAATTGCCAGTTATGAAATAAATACTAGAAGAAAATTCGTAGTGAGATTGCTCATCTTATAATTGGCATGTATCATAAATATTATGCCTACTATTAAATAATCTTGAAACATCTTATCGAATGCATTAAAGTATTTGATTATTCTTCTTTAGTAAGAAAGTGTCACTATGACCCTACAATATTAATTATTAGTTTCGAAGATATTACACATAATTAGATAAGTTTAATTGCACATGCTATCATGAAAATGTCAAATGTGAATTTTGTACAAGTTACTAACCTTTTTATGAGTGCTTCCGCTTTAAAAATCATTGAATCACATTCTTGCTCCGTTTCGCATTTTCACGTTTACAAATTGGATAAAATAAGGGTCTAATTTCAAACAAGAGCTGGGTTAAGATTTTATTTCTGTATTTTAGCCAGCCTCCTTAGAGGTAACTACGTCTGGCAAAATCGATGATAGTCCAATTAATCATGCAACATCAAAGCAGTGATCCTTTCCCTCCGAAAGTACTTGAAGACACTCTTTTATTCAAAGAACATTAAAATATGCGGTGAAGTCAGATATAAAAAAATTCGCAAACATAGAAATTCCTAAAGAAATGTTAAAACCATATGTAATAGTATATTTATAGTCTTCGTATCTTTTATGTAAGCGTAATACGATACTAAGTTATTTTGTTTCATTTGAAATCTAAAAAAATAATTACGAATTCATTACAAAATATTAGTTTAGCTATGTTTTTTCTATACTATAAATATAATATTCCCTTACACCTGCAAACAAAAGACATTGAATATTTGCTCTCATCCATTTCATTAATGTAATGAATGTATATAAAGTATATGTTTATTATTTTAGAACTATGGTTAATATTAGAAGATTAACTTATTAGAAGATTATTAATATCAGAAGAATTAATAAGACATAAGAAGTTAAGACATAAAAATTAACACGCCCCTAAATTGTTTGACCTGAGCTCAATTGTAAATTCCTCTGTAACAAAACACTACTTGTTGACGACCTACAAAACTACCTCAAGAACTCCCATTGGCGTGTATAAATCAATAACCGACTTGAAGAGATTCTAACTCGCTTCCGGGGCCCCGGCGGCGTGGGTCGGAGTCTCCTACCTTCTGTGGGCGACGTCGAGCGAGCGAAGAGCGACGCGTCGGCCCGTCGCCTCTGGTCGCACTGCGCGCGCCGTCGGGCCTCAGGGGCTCTTGGATGCTGAGGCGGCGGCGGCGGCGGAGACGCGATCGGCGACGGTGGCGACGCGGTGGCGGTTCGCTCGCCTAATCAGTGGCCCTGCTGTTTGCAGAAGGCCGTGTGGACTATACCCAGGTTGGTGGGCGGAGGCGGTAAATGTTTGTGTTGATGTGAAACTGGATGGCGAAACATTTTTTAAAAAAAATTATGTTAATTATCTACTTATAAATTATATAAACTTTATTTTAATTTATGTATGAATGTTATCCTTTATTTTTGAAACTTTTTTAATAGAGAGGTGTAATGAAAAGCATTAATAACATTAGTATTACCTAATAACACTGAATTTCATTTATCATTATGTTTTGCTGAATGGTGCAAAATAATCAGGTCAAATTTAATCGTTCAAATGCTGATTTAAAATGATAAATTACAAACTAGAATAGGCACGTGCAGCATTTTTGGGCACCTTGGGGCCATTTTTTCTAATGAGCTTTTATTTACATACGACATATTTCACTAGGAAATAAAACAAAAAGAGAGAGTCAAATTTCACTTTAATCATACAGTTAATAAATTGAATTTATTTTATGATGTACAATTTACAAGTTTGCCAGACGCTTTCGAGAGACTTTTTGTCAAATGTGAATCAGTTTTTCAGATTCTCAACTTATAAAGACTAAAATTAAGAACTGACGGAAGTTTCTACGAATGTAAATTTTTTTTATTAGGTATGGCTACGGGGCCCCTTTTTGAAAGTTTCATCGGCTTAGGGCACCAATTGATGTCACTGCAGTGCCTCTGACAGGGAGGTTTTAGAGTTTTCATGCCGGCTACTAGAGTTTCGATGGTGGTAGAAATTTGACACTAGCTACATAGCTACATGTGGCCGATCCGGTGGCCGGATCGCTAAGGCAGTAGTGCCGTAGCGATCTCGTACCGAAAGATCGCGGGTTCGAGTCCCGCCTCGGGTATTGTTGTATTGTGTTCGTCCTTTCAGCCCCTATCATCATCATCATATCAAGGAAGACAACGGGAAACCACCCTGAATAATTTATCCCAAGATAGGACCAAAGAAGACATAGCTACATAGTTGAATTCAGCCGCGGTTTGGAGGAGAATTCTAGCAGGCAGCAGCTCTGATTGGTAGTTTTCCGTGGTTTCTCCGATCAACACCAAGCGAATGCCGGAGCAATACCCTAACAATCGGGTAACGGAATGCGCGCGATCGTTCCTTTCTCGTCCTATGTCCTTGGTTCACCCCACTTACTTACGCACACATACACTGACATGCACCTCACTACCACACACGTCGGGAGACCAGTTGGGAGCTTAGAGCTTGTCCCGGTTGGTGAGGTGTCCAGCAGGTGGGAGAAACATTGTTGGGGAAAACCCTACAAACCGACGAGTAGGCGTCGGCGTCGAATCTCGCCCTGCAGGGGGAAGATCACCGCCCCCTCCAGCGATAAAAGCATGCACTGCATTTACAGGGCTAATGAACTTAGCAGGTGACGCATCCAGAATCACAAATTAATCGAAAGTTTGTCCTCCTGCTCCCCCTCTCACGGGAGCACGACTATTCTAGAGAGTTTGTGCAGGCCATAGCGGGCAGCACCATCGATCTTCTGCGCATGCGAGATACACCGGTGACGCGAAAATTGAACTGCGCATGCGAAGAAGATAGTTGTTGTGTTACAATTCATTAGTAATTATTATTGTTATTATTATTATTATTATTATTATTATTTCATTTTATTTTACAACTTCTTCCCATGTTAATTTACAGCTTCCAGTAAATGTAAGCTTATTTACATGTACAGAGTGTTAATGAAATTCTGAATTGAATTTAAATGAATTCATGTCTTTTTTAAGTGGCAAGACTCGGTCCATCAGGACCGCTCTTCCGCCTAGCCACGCAAATTTCGCTAAAGAATAACTAGACTAAGGCATTTTCATCCTTCTTGCATTAACCATGTACTTGTAAGCTCTCCATTGTTGAGAGTCACGTAATTTTTACTTCCCGGTATACGTACGTATATACGGAGTATGGAGAAATGTATGTAATGCAGAGGAAAATCGATATCGAGATTTCAACGGAAATAAACATTGTGGGGTCCCCTGATTTCGAAAATGTGTTGTTTTTTTTCAAACATCCGTCCGTATGTCCGTTCGTCCGTCTGTGAACACCACTAGCGCTTAAACCATATGTACGATTTTTTCCAAAATGAATATTTCCCGGTCGATCTGGCTCCACTCGAGACGCCACGATTTTGAAAAACGTTCTTCCAAATTTGGGGGTACTTTACATGAAGCCCCCCAGACATTTTCAAAATTTTGTCAAAAACGGCTTCAAACTTTTTTAAAATTCCTTGTAAGAATAGAGTAAATTGCAATTATAAAGGTGGCATACATAAGATTTTCACAGTTGTCTCTTAATTTTAGAAAATTGCCAAAGTTTGAATTTTTCCGCGTTTCCCTAGAAATACAAAATTGAACATTAAGGTTTTTCCTTCATATAAAATTTTCTGTTCATAGCAAGTTCTTTCATTAAAGTCATGTACATTTTTTTTAAACTTTTAGTAGTTTACGCGCAATTTTGAGCGCAATTTGTGCATTTTAAAAATAAAAAATTCAAAAACAATATTTTCTCAAAAACGGCCCAAAATGTTTTCTTTAAACTTTTGGTAGGGATGGAGCTAAATGCACTCTATAAAATGATACCAACGCCATATTGCTCTATCCTTTTGTTTTTTCAAAATAATTACAAAAAACTTTTCTAGACTTGTCTCTCACGTTGTTAATATTTATATCAGTGGCAATTTGTTCACATCATTATATTTATGATTACCTACATGTGCTTTAAACAATGTCATATAAAGTTTCTAGAAAACACATCCGTTTTCTGTTACAACTAACTCAAAATTCCGCATTTTCAGAAATTCTCAAAGGTCATTTTCTCAAAATCGGTTCCAATATTTTCTTCAACCTTTTTGAACGGATAATGATGATTTCACTCTTTAATATGACGTAAACTTCATTTTGGAGTATTTTTTTCGGAAAATTATACAAATATAATTTATTTGAAAGATCTCTCATGTCATTAATACGCACTCTCCCAGCGATTTGTAAATGTATATGAGTTAAAATACTTCAAATAACTTCTAATTTCGTGTTTGAAAACTCAAACATTTTCTGAGAAAAAGAGACTCAAATATCGAATATACAGTAGGGCTTAAACGTCATTTTCTTAAAAACGGCTCTAAATATTTCAAAGAAAAATTGCCATTTATAACGATGTTTTACGGTTCTTTAATATTCTTAAAATAAATTTTCCGAGGAAAATTATATGTACTATTAGGAAACCGAAAAATTAAGGATTTTTTTAAAAAAAAGTGTATTTTGGGTGACAGTAGATGGCAGTAGGCAGTGACAGCAGACAGATGGCAGTGACAGCAGATGGCAAGAGTATGTGGCAAGTTCATATATCTAGACGAGACCAAAAGAAATAGAAAGCAAATACAGGAAAGTCTGTGCCATTGTGTTGTACCACTACTTATATTTTATGTGTAATTATACATATACTTCGAGATTTTCCACATTACTAACTATCGGGTATTTAGAAGATGTATACGTCTAAAAATGTAATAGGTCTAAAATGTCTTTTTTATTGGTTGCAACGAACATAATTTGGGATCGTATTTCGCGCTCATAAACTGAGTTTTAAGGGCTTCAAATTCTTCGTTTTCGAGTTGTTCACGATGGTAACGTATGTTGCGTGTTGCACGTGCCTACTATTTCAACCCTTTTCACTTTTCCTCCCACTGTACTAAAGTATAGTGACGAAAAGTATTGGAATAACCTCAATAATACGATTTCGAATTTTCGAGATAACATCAATGTTTAAGGTTGTTTCCACCTGTAACTCTGCGCCTACGCCAGGTTGAAAGACTATTAGTGCTGTTCCAAAGATTGGTGCTGATAGAGAGGTACTTGCAATCTTGTGCCAGAGAATCGGGATTTAGTATATGAATGGATGTGTCACGCATAACTGTTTGATTAGAATCTTTCCACCTAAAACGTAAGAAGTACGTCAGGACTAAGTTCTAGTTGTGCCAAAGCAAACGTCATTTATTTATTTTAACTTTTGAGGGTACTTTGCATGAGGCTCTAAGATATTTTCAAAATTTTCTGGAAAATATTTTTTTAAAAGTTGAAATGAGTATGAAGTGTATTTATAAGTATGGTACAGAGTTATTCAGTCCTCGTTGCTAATACGCCTGGATCTTGCCCCATATGTAATGTACAGACTGAATTTGCCAAAATTGGATACCCTTCGTCATTTAGTTTTGTAAATAATTAACGTTTAACTTTGGACTATGCGCTTGGGCTCGTGTTAGATTGTCTACGGCAAGTGCGCGATCGGCGTCCCCTTGCCACTTCCCTGGAAAACCCAATTGCTAATACTATCCTAGAAGCCCCGGAAACGAACACAAGAAGAAAAGCGCGCGAGGTCAAAGCATCACAGCCCCTCGTCTGGCGAACAATTCTTGCGGAGAGATTACGACTTTTCCATTTCCGGCGGGTGCAGTATTTGTGCAGTACAGACCTATAACATCGTTTTAAATTTTTTAGGCATTTCCTACGCAAATGCAAAGAAAACCAGTAAATTCCTTTCGTTGGTCATATGAAGAGTGTTTTACAAGAAGTGGCGCAATTAATGTGCGCAATTTACATTTACATACAATACAAACTTCACTTCCTGTTCGCTTATATTAATAGATAACCTTTACAAAAAATAATTGTAAAATTTAAAAAAGAATATATACTACAAATACATTTTACTTCTCAATCTCCGAAAATTAGAAAATGACAAATCGAGGTTCTTTGAAAACTACGTTTTAAGAAAAATTCGATTACATTCTATGTTAAAAGAATGCAAAAACGTTAAGCAAATATTTTTTTCTTTTAGATATTTAAAGCATAAAAACAGTTTCATCAAAATCAGGGGATGTTTGAAAAATTGTTCAATGTGTGGTGTAACCACAATGTCTTGAAGAAAATTGATTGTTTACCATATCGTGATTTTTTGCCGATAATAGAATTTTTGTACCTACGTACTTGATTAAAATTGATACTTCTTTAATGATCTGGTGTCTTCTTTTGAAAGACACAAATTTCATTCCATATATTTCTTAATCAGGGATAATAATTAGTCAGGGATAATAATTATTCTTTGTGTTCTATCAGCCAACGAGCTAAAAACGAATTTCTGTGTCAGGTATTTTTAGTTATCGTCCGTAATGAACCGTAATGAACGATAAGCTTCTGTGGAACTTGGGCACTGAACACAATGATAATTACGGATGATAATTTGTAGAGAAGCGAGAAGTAAATACAGTAATGCAATTTCGTAATAGGATATTTTGTCACTATCTAGTTATTGTATTTTCGTAGGTAAACATGTATTATAATTGGAAACATATTGGTAGTTCAGATAGCAAAAGGTAAAGAAGATACGACGTTTCCTTCACACAGGCTGGAAGATAGCACGTCTATCGTCAAGTGTCACCATCGTGGGAGGTATGAAGTAAGATTTATTTCGTAATGAAAGCAGTGTGCGACCAAAGTTCAGGATATCCCTGTCGACAAAGAAAAGAAAACATTTGCAGTATAAAGCTCCCTCAACACACAAAAAAGTACATCAGAGAAATACGCAATAATACTTCACAGTGATGGAGATATATGATGAATATGTAATGTAATTTATGTTACACAAAATAATGATTAAAATTACACTACCTGATCAACCTACGCCTAAAAAATTGGAAATAAATAATGTAGGCATGGATGTAAAATGTAAAACGTACTGTGTAAATATGTGGATTTCCTGAGTGTAATTAATATTCGATTATTGATTATTTTCTGGGGCGGACGCGTCGACTACTATAGTCATTAGTCCCGTAGATGTAGTGCATGATATAGAGATGACGCTGTTCCTACCCCTTCTGGCTGGTGAGATCAAGCGCCAACTTACACGTCGGCTTACGAAACTTTACCTGCAGGTATCTCCGATATGCTGTACCTGCAGGTACACAGGCAACGGCCCATCCGGTACAAGCTTTAAGCTCCCGACAGATCTCCCGACAACATACACCCTGCGGTCTCTGTCAGAGAATAGCGCGGAGTAATGCTGTTGCAACACTTATTCCCCGAGCTATTTCAGCCAGTATTCAGTACTGAATTTAGGAGATCAAGAAAACGTGAACCAAATTTTTTCCCCCCCCCCCCCATGTGTAATGACCAGTTTTTACCTATATTGGTGGTACATAAATAAATTGAAACAAAAACACATGAAACGAGTGTTGAAAATATATTAACATTTTATTAACTGTTTGCAGCATTGTATTAATACATTAAAGCAATATTTAAGTACTACATACATACAGGCTTCAAAATAACACTTACATTCAATGTTTGGTATGAAATCCGAGAGCGTGAGTAAAGCTCGGCATTTTGTTTTCTAAGAATTAGAAACAAAGAAATTATTAATATTTTTTCCGACCAGCGGGTACCATTATCCTCGTAAAACGAATGACCAAGAGACGATCCATGATTGTACTTGAGAAACAAATATAAATAAACCTATTTACGATAATACATGTTTTCTTCTAGATAATGTAACAACAATAACGTCATTTTGTATGAATGATGTGTTATCTAAAACTGATAAGCGTCGATCGACCTCTTGTATGAGTTTTGTGAAGAAACTGATGCGAATGGAAATCGAAAACAGCGAACCCTCATAGAAAGAAAACGCAGGCGAAGACTAATATCCATGCAAATGCATCTTTCACCTGAAATCACACATAAATGACGTATCTTCTGGATTCTTCTTAGTCACTGACATTCAATTACACAAACACTGAACTAATTCATAATTAATGAGATGATAATCGTGTATCTTCGGTTGTACTATATTAAAAATGTTTTCTGTGTCTTATCTATTCTTCTCTTCTTCACACTTTTATAAAAAGGACTAGTAGATTCGGAAAATTCGTGGAGAATTAACGAATAAGTAGTTTGATTGATCACTTCGTAATATTCAAAACACTTAAGTCTTCGACAAATTTAACGACAACGCTCGACGCTACTAAAAAGCTATTTCAAGCAAATTGGGCTTATGGAACAACTTTTTAAAATGTTCTTCTGAGTTTGAATAGAGCGTCGTCGGTTGTGAGCGACGGGACGTGGAACATTCCATTGATAGGAAACTCTCTGAGTCACTTATGTCGTCAAAATGCTCACGTGCGACCTCGAAGTGGTGCAGAGTTATAAACGAACAGCAGGACGTCCTCGAAGGCGTGAGTGAACGCTGGAGAAGTTGACCACGAAAGAGTCTCATGCCATTTTAGGAATGTTTGTTTAATTAAAAAATAAACTTTTTTGTAGTGTAGCACAAAACATTTCTAGGCAACCACGCAACCAATAGCTATGAAGTGTAAAACAGTTTTATACAACGTTTTCTTCTAAATAAAAGTCCTTTCGAACGTGAAGGCAGAGTTTGCGCTAACTTCCCATCATGCCAAGTTCTTATGATTCGCATTTGTTCGACAAGAGTCTCTCACTAATGATCTGTACAGATAATTATACAAGTGGTCAACCTAACTTGGCCACATTGGAAATAGTTTGAGATGAGAATCATGTTTGCGCCAAGTTGTTGTAGATGGTGGGAAAAGTTTCGTTTTCTTACGTTTCGTACGTTCTTCGTAACATTTTTCATATTTGAAATATTGATAAAATTTTGATTTTGATTGAAATAACATATTCATTAAAATATATATATATATATATATATATATATATATATATATATATATATATATATATATATATATATATACATCATACTATCCCTTTCTCTAATTGATACTCACGGCTAATAACCTTGTCTTAACCATGAGATGCTGCCGAAAGGCTAATCACCATAATACCCCTTTTCCAGGATAGAATGCAAGTGGGCCTCGGAGAGAGAAATGTTATGAGAATAATATTATATATTTGGAAAGAAACTGTGAATTAACTGTGAATTATTTATGATACGAGTGGTAAAATTGGCATTTTATTTTGCGAGTAGAAAATGTTGCTTACGAGTTCGATATGCCGAATCCTACGAGCAAACGTAAATCACTTTTACCACGTGTATTATACACTATTTTGTAGAAACCCTTATTATCACTTTATTTTAATTCAAGTATAAAAAAATCATTTAACGATACATTAAGGTAAGTAGTGGCTGAGGCACACAGACGAAAGTATTTTGCTTTCTTCTACAGATTTATATGAATATTTTAGCATCGTCATACAGCACTAGTTCTTAAAATTGAAATTTTATCACGCAATGCACACACTAAAAAAATCGCTTACTAGAAGGGGGCTAAAATTGGTTTCTACAGTTCCTCAGAAACCACGTTCCTCGCGCCTTTATGCAGTGGATGGGCGGAAGGCATTAGAATCAGGTCTTCGCTGGCGCTGCGCTCTCTTGGTAGAAATCATAATTGACACATCATAGTTTCTATGTAACTATGCTTATTTGTATTACTGTCTTGCATTGATCTCCTACTTATTTGTCCATCTGTTTCCGTAGTGGCTTCAAGCATAACAAATATTCTTTGTTACTAACTCGGGAAGCGAGATCATGTTCCAAAATCAAATGCATTTTTAGGCCAATGAATTAAGAATCAGAAAGCGAATCAATTAATGCTTTACTTGGACTCACTCGTATGTATTCGAATGTAAATTTGGACTTTGGATCATTTAATTAATACATGTTGCCTTCTTAAATTCTTCTTTCTATTCTTAATTTATTTTCTACTGAACTTAATCTCAATATAATAAAAAAAAATCACTGCACTTCTATCTTCACTATCAATGTCGTTAAAATTAGAAATTTGCATTATTTTACCTTTGCTATTCCAAACCAAAAGCTACAATTATCTTGATTTTACAAGATATTAAATTAATTTTATTTTGTTAAATAAACAACATTATTCTCACTTGCATGCTCTCGACCGGCTCCACCTCGGAATCACTTCAAGTACCTTCAGCCGAGTGCACTGTTGACACGGGAGAGCGAGTCACGCAGAGAGATAGAAAGATAAGTGGAGGCAAGGTAAGACGCACTTTCCGACAAAAACGAAAAACTCGAGAGAAATAACAATGTGGTAACAATAATTTAATTAATTAAGAACTCAAATTACATTGAAATACATACCAGAGAACCTGAGACAAGTGTGAATTCGTTCGCTTTTTGATTATCCTGATTGATCAATTCCATTGGTAATTAGTAACACATTTTTTCTCTTGTTACCCGCAGAATTATTTCATTTTGATTCAAGCCAATGCAGAAACAAAAGCACCTTTATGAAGGAGATCAATGCAATACATTGAAGAATAGTTACGTTCATTGAGAAAACTCGAAGATTCAATTTTGATTTCTTTCTAATGAGCGGAGGGCCAGCGGAGGACAGACCGTTTTCGCCTTACGGACAGCCGATGCGGAAAAGCCAGAAAAACATTTTGTGAGAAATGAAGAAACAGTGTTTTTCACAGTTCCTTTTCCAATAATAACAATGCTTATATCTTTGTAATTATTTCTTCGAGTACATCATAATGGTCGTAGAAAAATATTTAATTTCATTTAAAAATCAATATTTAATTAATATCCCAAAACTTAAAAACGTTATAAACTAGAAAGTTAGGTATGTTATTATCCCCATTATCTATAATCTGGCGCAAATATCATTCCGACGCCTTAAACTGTTTCGAAGATATTCGCTGAGGTCAAATTAGGTTGTTCACGTTGTATAATTATTATATTATTAAATAAATATAATTACTATTGTCATAGAAAATGATATGTTCCGATTAACGCTATGAACATGATGTTGCATCATGGGAATATAGAGTTAGCAGAAAACACTGTCGCCGCTGTTAGGAAAAACATTCCATATAGCGTGATCCCGAGACTGGTTTACAGTGCGACACAAGTCACGTGATTATATTCACTAATTTTTAGTGGAATAGCGTTTTCTGCCATCACTTCGTAACGTAGGCGTCCACGCTTGTACAGATGGTCAAAGACGGGATAACGTTACAGTACTTCACGCAGTGCAAAACCTCTGTAGTGAATGAATGTTCGTGTGCGCGAACGGAGCGTAGGCGGGCGCCATAAGCAGCGCAGCGGCCGCGGAGCACCATCTCATCGTCCGCTTTCGTCGGGCACGTCCGCGAACACGTCCCCGTAACTGGCCGACTCCCGTGGCACGGGGAAGGCGGGCAGAGGGAGGTCACTGTGGTGGAGAACATCATGTGGTGGCGACGGAAAAGCCGGAAAGAGAAAGTCGCTGTGACGATGCGCGCCCTCTGGTAGCGCGGGTGAAGCCGTCGTGAAGGCGTAGTTGTGATGACGCACGTCGTCAGGCAGCGCAGGTGAAGCCGGAAGAGAGAGGTCGTTGCGACGGTACACGTCGTCAGGTATCGTGGGTGAACCGGGCTTGGGTGAAGCATTACTGGGACGGTACACGCCGTCAGGCATCGTGGGTGAAGCGTTACTGGGACGGTACACGCCGTCAGGCATCGTGGGTGAAGCGGGCTTGGAGAGTTCGCCGCGGCCGTACATGTCAGGCGGCGAGAGCGGGACTGGCTTGAAGACTTCATTGCGACGATCGCCGTCGCCAGGCAGCGCCGGTGAGGCCGGCATAGACAGGTCGCTGCGCCGGTTCATGTGGTCGGGCTTGGCGGGGGAGATGGGTTTGAACAGGCTGTTGCGGAATTCGTCGCGAGGCGGCGCGGGCGGCGCCTGGCCGTAGAGGTCGCTTCGTCGCTGCACGTCGTGTGGCAGAGCGGGCAGCGTGCCGCGGAAGGTTCTGCCGGGCGACACGGGCGTGGAGAGCGTGCGGCGGCGGCGGTCCAGCGTGGTGGTGGCGTACAGCGGCGAGGGGGCGTCGCCCCNNNCGCCCCCGCGCGCACCATCCCTTCATCGGGGTCGTACACGCTCCAAGACAGCGCCGCCGTCTCGCCCCCGTCGTCGTCGTCGTCGTCGGCCTCGTGGCGCCGGCAGCGCTTCGCCAGCCACACCGTCACGAAGATGACGATGACGAAGAGGACGGCGCCGCTCACGCCGAACGCCAGGTGCATGGGGCGCAGCACGGGGTCGTCCTCGCCGGAGGTGTCCTGTCGCGCGAACCACAAGCGGCAGTTAGCGAGAACGCGTAACAACTGTTGATGCACTGTGTTATATTAGCCCTTCCATTAGTTGTTCTTGGTATAATAAACGTTACTACTGCGTTTTTTTAAATACTAAAAATAACAAAATATCGTTATAATGTCGAGGCAATAAGCTATTTACTTCAAGTTTTCTGGCATTCGTCAATACAATAATGAATTGTATGAGTATGTGGGTAGTGGGATAAAGAACGTAACAAAAGCGTTTAATAATTTTTGACTGTTCCGCTCGTGAAATTAACACTAACAGCGTTGTACTATACATCTGGATGAACAATAAAGACGGTGTATCCCACCAAAATTATATATTTTTCTTGCCACCTCCTCCCCGCTGCCCAATCACAAGGTTCGATACGTGAGTCATAGGAATCGTAGCCGTATGCGCTTTGAGCGCACACACAGAATTGATTTTTGGCGCGTTCTGAAGCTTTGAGAAGATGAGGGGCAATTGCATTCGTGGAAAAATCGCCTTAAAAACCACGCGTGCATTGGAAAACTCCAAGATAAATTCCCGAAGGCTACGCTACTAGGGCATTTATCGGACATCCCGATGCAGACGTGAATTACAACTTACATATAATAAAAATCTATTTATTGGAGTGTTAATCACCTTAGGCACGAGGACGGCATTAATGTCGGGCGGAGGGTCGTCCTCGAAGCGGCCGAAAAAGTCGTCCTCGCCCTCGTCCACGTCCTCGTCCGCGTCCGCGTCCTCGTCCTCGTGCTGCACCATGCCGCCGGAGCGCTCGTCGCCAACGCACGCCAGCACCTCCTCCTGCGTGCAGGCGCCGTCCACTTGCCACTGCACCCCCGCAGGCATCATGAAGCAGCGCCGCGGCAGCACCTTGCACTTGAGCAGGTTGCACTCGCAGCCCAGCGGGTTGCCAGACACGTCCAGCAACGCCTTGCTCTGTGCACAAGACGCGTGGGCGCTGCTACAGCGTCCGTCGAGCCAGCGCGCTTCAGGAAAATATGATCAAAATGCTGAGCTACTTCATTACTAATCCAAAACTAGTGATGCTGAAACAGCACGTACTTTTTCACCTATACTTTCACACAACATTTTGCGAGAAGTAGGAACTCATTTTCGAAAGATTATACATGACCTTATTTCAAAATCTATTTTTAAGGAACAGACTTGATTAAAAAAGGAATATCACTTATCTTTAATATTTTATTTGTAGGAAGACGTTTTTAATAAACATGAGACCTAAACGTCCTTTACACCATCCAACAAAAAAAACAACGATGGTGCAATTTTTTTGAAAATTTAGAAAAAGTTCCAGGGGCTTTGTAAAAGTACCCCCAAAATTATAAATCGATTTCAAATTCCAGGGAAATAGCGATATCAGCTATATCTATTGACGATTATCAATTTTGGAGAAAATCGGCTGAATAGTTTAGCCGCTCTCGTTGATCACAGACGGATGGAGAGACGTTTTGCCGTCATTCGATTTTTTGGCATCAAGGACCTTCGAAAGTTGGATTCAGGCTACACGTGTCAGAAGTTTTTCCTCTGGATTTAGATACAGGATTTATCCACTTTTGGGGTACAAGGATCCTGTAATAAGAGTTTTTCTGCCGAAAAATCGCCGTTTCTCGCGCAACATTACATAACTTTCTCTCTACTGCGTAAGCGGTAGCGACAAAGTAATAAATGTATTATCATTGCTTCTAATTAAAAAATGTGTCTGTCTTACGAACTCTACCGGCTGATATAGCTCAGTGACAACTGTTGCCGCTGCTGTGTCCCTGGCGGGAGGTTATTGGGTTGAAGTCCCGATGACAGAAATTCGACACTGGCTACTTAACCAGATTGAATTCAACCGCTGTCTGAGAAAGAATTCTAGTTGTCGCTCCGCTCGGTAGTTTTCTTTGGTTTTGATTCGATTAATATAATGCGAATTCTAGAGTGATGCCTGAACATGGAGACCATGGAGCGCAAGTAACATTTCCTTTCGCATCCTTATCCACTCCTCTTGCCTTATACACACACACACACACACACACACACACACACACACACACACACACTTACATGCACTTTACACCACAAATATCGAGAAACTAGCCGAAAGCTTGTCTTCACCGTCACCTCCCGGAATAAAAAAATATTCTTTCTACTCATGGGACTAATGTCCATAGCAGTTTACGTGCCAGGGAACATCAATTTATAGGCAATCGTTCAATTTATAGGGAAAATAACTTTAAAAGTGGAGCAGTAAGTTTTTATTGGGTTGAATATTGCACAAACTCACCTTGAAACGAAGCACTGCAAAAACGCGAAGATCCAGGACTGACATTTTGTTGTCTCTCAAATCGAGAAGTTTCAAATGGCGCGTCTTCTCGAAGACACCGATGGGAAGTGATTCGATTTCGTTCTCTGCCAAAAGGAGCGAACGCAACTCGAAAAGTTTGGAAAACGATTCTATAGATACATTGACGATCCCGCAGGCGCTAAGGTCCAAAATGAGTATCGTACTCGACTCAAGGAACGGAGAGTTTTCGGGGAGCTGAAACATAAGAACATGATTAATATGTTTGTGACAGAATCATGTTTAGTATTTGCTGGAGCCTTATTCATTCAGTTTGTGGCTAATTACACTAAAATACTCGAGAATATTTTAATAATGCGCATGCACAGGATAATGATAAATGTTTACATTATTAAACTCCTATACATATTTCCTTTAAATTTTCTAATTTCGTTCTGATTATGGTTTGTTACATCCCTTTAAAAAGTTCTGAAAATCGAACAGCAAACCTCGCTAATGTATGAGTGCGAATACATGATTTATTAATATATATAATTTTGGTGGGATTTTAAATAAATACTGTCCGCTATTTGGGATATGCCTTTTATTTTATTAACAGCTAGGGAAAAACAGCTTATTTTCTAAATATACGATTTCACACATTACACATCATTAATCGGATGGAGTTTTTCTTTCTGCTTTATATTTTCTTTCATTTGGATACATTCAAAGTTTTTTTTCAAATTTTGTTTATTTAAGGTCGCATTAACAGCAAGGTCATTAGCGATCACATATTTGACTTAACATTGGGGTAACTGTAAGGGTCAGTAAGTCAGTTGTCAAGAAGACCGCCAGGTAGCATCGCCGTGTCCGCGCCTTATTACTCGCGCTCCTGCATCACTACCTAGCGTCCTGAATTTGGAAAGATTTAGGATAGGGATAGGGTTTAGGACGCTTTGCAGGGGTTAGACTAGCCCTTGAGAAGCAGGCAAAGTCGTTTTATGGGAACACATTTTACACGGGATCAATCCCAAACCCCCGTGGTGAAGGCAAGCGACTTCGCTATGGGCGACGAGTGGCCCCACTTCCCAAATTTGACCATTTCTGATCATCTATTGTTTTTTTGCCATTGTTTTTTGTCCTCAATACTTCGTGCGCTTAAAAGTTCATTTCAAACTGCATTAATTTCAAAAAACCTTTACACAAATCACGTTATCTATACACGAACATTTTAATGAAATTTTCATCATCGAACACGCAAGAGGGGTCGCATAGTATGGCAGAAAGTGCTATTCTGCGCATTCTCCAAAACTTCGCGGGCCGCTGACGTTACATCGATTTTGGGTTTCGATTTGATGTGCCACTTACAAGTCAGTGTCCGATTATTTACGCGTGATCAATTAACTAACTATGGTTATTTCTTGTGCTGCATATAGTTGTACAAAACAATTGTACTAAAGAAGGGGTCAGAAATTTCTACCCACGGGTAAGTGATATCTTGTAAAGGGAAGAAAACAGTCAAGAAAAATATCAATATGTACGTTCTTCTATTTTTTGTAAGTTTTCCTCAAGACCTGGGATTGTGAAAGTGTGGAAAGACTTTTCCCCCTCCAAATACAGTAAGCTGTGTAACAAATATTTTGAGGGGAGTGCTTTCGAATTAAGGCCCGATGCTTCATATCCTCTATTCAATCCAGATGCTGTTACATCTGTATTTGATTTCCCCGAATATGTGGATGCTCTTCCACCGCAGAAGAGTAGAAACGTACTACGATATGAGGTGAGTGTTTATTGAGGTGTATGAGAAAAGAGTTTTCGAGAGAAGATTTTTCTATATATAAACACAAACTTTTTGTTTATTTCAGACGACAGAGAAAGAGTCATCTGATGCAATTAAAAGTCAACTTCCTGAACCACCCAGTCCAAAGGAAATCTGTAAAACAAGCGAAAAATCAAGAAGACGAAATGTGAGTACTACTGATTGATCAATAACATGTTGATTGACACTAACGTGCTGCCTCTGTTCGAAGAAACAATATTATCATACATTGACATCATGTTTATTTTTCAAGAATTCATTTTTTAAATGATATACATCCAATAATTATTATGAAGAAAATAATGATATTGTGGGGCTCATTAGGCATTTAGTGAATCTTGTGCGACAAACCCTTGGAAACTGTATCGCCAAAACTAGTCATGAGGCAAAAATTAAAAACGAGTTAGTTGATTCTCTTCAACAACCTATGGATAGAAACTAACAAATACTTTTTAATAAATATTATAGAAATTTTGGTGTTTGAATATTGTTTTTGTTGCACTGTATATTTATTTTATATTTATTGTAAGTTTTCTTAAATAACCGTTAATGTAATTAATCTTTTTAATTTGTATTTATGTAAATAAATGTAAGATATTCATTCTTTTAATCGTTCTTATTATAATACCAACAAACTCATCAGTTACGTCAGACAGCAAATAATTATATTTCAATTAGAATCGTTATTCCTAGTTAAAAATATGAGTGGGATGGGAGAAGCACTTGAAACGCGAAAGCATAGACCATCTCTTGCCGAAGGTGGAGCAGGGGAACCCTTCGGGTCGCCGAACCGTTTGCCAGTCTTTCAGCAAGCAATACAGTAGGCATAAATCCGATAGGCCCTGGCACAGTTGTTACAGACAGGCTCCCCACCTGAATGCGATTCCCGCGCAGGTAGAGCGTCTGCAGGAGCGAGTGGTTCTGGAAGGCCTGGGGCTCGACGCGTGCGATGGCGTTGCGCTCCAGGTGCAGGTGCGACAGCTTGAGCAGCGACGCGAGCGCGGCCGCCGGCAGCTCGCGCAGCCGGTTGTCGCGCAGCGTGAGGTAGAGCAGCGCGGGCGCGCCGCGCAGCGCGTCCTCGTCCAGCTGCTCCAGCGCGCAGCCGTCCATCTCGAGCCAGCGCAGCGCGGGCTGTCGCAGCGCCGACGGCGGCCCGGCCAGCGCGTTGCCGCTCAGGTAGAGCTTCTCCAGGCGCGCGCAGCGCTCCAGCGCCCGCGCGGGGACGGCGCGCAGCGCGTTGTCGCGCAGGTCGAGCTCGCGCAGCGCCGCCAGCGGCGCCAGCGCCCGCGCGCGCACCTCCGTCAGCCCGCAGCGGCGCAGCGCCAGGCGCCGCAGCCCGCTCAGCCCGCGGAAGGGGCCCGCCTCGCCTGCGCCGAAAGAGGAACGCGTGGCTTGGAATTGTATTTTCACGAAATAAAATAAGATGTAGTAACAATAAAAAAGTGAAAAAGTGTTGCAAAACAGAAACTAGGAAGACTACCTGCATCATGGAAACAAAAAAATTATGGATAGTATAATGAAGGAGAAAAGAATAAACGAAGATAATAGATATAATAGAGAAGAATGAAAAAATTAATTTATTAAACAATTAAAATTCTATTATTATTATTATTATTATTATTATTATTATTATTATTATTATTATTGTTGTTGTTGTTGTTGTTGTTGTGTCGTTGTTAGAAAACCAGAAAGATGCAATAACATTTCAAAAGCCGGATATATATATATATATATATATATATATATATATATATATATATTGTATATCTGTAACAAAAATGTACATAAATTATATACATTTGTGCTCTGGCTCTCCCATCGACAGTAATGTACATCTGCAGTCGTATATGCAAAGACCATCGAAGTAACTGCAATATTTTGTGAATTGATTCTCTAGAATGTCAACCAATAGGAGACAATTTAAATTCTGATGACTCAATGGAAGAAATCTTTCATTCCGATCTTTAATATTAATGTTTGTTCTTGTGACGATAGATTGATTTGGTTTCGTCTCTATTCGTCATTACCCCTCGCAGTCTCCCCACTCCCCGTAAGAGTCTCGGTGTCGAATACTTAAAATCAGATTTTATAAAGTATTATTTTATTCTCAAATTACTAACTAAACATTGACATATGATACATCGTTGTACTCCTATTTTTATGTATCCATTAATAGTGAGAGAAATACACAGTCCCATTTAAAAATCCCAAGACGATGGTATTCAGTATAATAATAAACACAAAGGCTAAAAGTGAATAATATTTAGTACGAATTAGTTTCACAAACATGTACCAACAAAATATGTAAGATTCATTGAGTGTAGATTCGTCATTTAACCGACTGTGAAGTTTTGTATTTGAGTGGCCACAAAGTGTACACTTCTCTAGTGTTTTCGTACTGAGCGCATCATGTTTTACTAGCGCGGTCTTGAAATCGTTCGACATGCAGCATATTCAAGCATGAAACAGGGGATCTCCCCCGCTTGGTAGGACACCTGGAGAGGGAAAATCTTGCTTGTATGTCGATATATAACGTTGCAGAGGAGGAAGGAACAGCATCGCCTTTCACCTCTCTCAGTATGTATTACACGTACGATACAAATGACCAGGGATTCATTTCTGACTGAACGCAACGGAACGACAAAATAGGAAAAATGAAACAAAAAGCAGAAAACAAACACTTGGCATCATCGATTTTTCATAATCTTTCGATCACTAACTTTCGTAATCTCAAAATAATTTTCCTCTTAACTGTATCATTTCTACGAACGTAATGAAATAATTATTAAAAACGATAAAATATAATTATAAACTTAATTTTGTATTTTCTATTATTATTATTTCGTTGACATAGAGTCAGTGCTACCTCTGTTACTAATTATTATTAAGTGCGATTTATAATTATTAAAATACAATTTTTATGTTATAAATATATAAAAATTTCTGTTATATTAATAATTAATATGGGCGCCATCTGGGACTTGGGAAATTTATAAATCAAGTACTGCTAATGACCAAAATAGATGGCGCGGCCAGAAACACAAAATACTCACACATCACATCATTAAAAAGCGTAGTTGTAAGAGAATGGACAAAATGTCGTAGTGTTGCAATTTTCGAAATTTCAGAGGTGTCAGAGCGGTCTTACACGAATCCGGAAACGCGCCACGTGCGGTGGGCAAGGAAAGCGAGCCGTCTACCTGCCCTGTCGAGGGGGGGAAAGTAGCCAATCAGGGAGGGTTAGCTCCAATGAGAAGGGAGGAGGATGTCTGCGACGATATAGACAGTCATTTGTTCTGAATGAATGCTGTCTTGTTCGAGCAAACGAGCAGACCGCCTCTTCCTGTTACGTGATCACAGACATCCAATTTGCCATCGTCTCACTCAAAACTTGATCGATGCATGAGGCAAGATTACACGCAGTTGCACCGCGCTCCGAGTCGCTAGCGAATGCATCAGGTCTGCTTTATGAGAGTAAGTATCTTGTCTAATTTTCATTGTGCGTTTTTAAATAGGCGATACATCTTGGAGAAACTGCCTAATGCAGGTTAAGGGCACGAGTCCGTGGATAAACGTCAGTGAGGTTGATACGTGCGTTGACTTGGATAGCGACTATGCACTTGAGTAATCAATTCAAAGGCCCCATTCCCACATCAAATATTTACTGTACGTTCCCCTCAATGTGGGGGCAAGACAACTTTTACAACATCAATGGTTTTGTGATAAAATGTATAACTAACAATCCGGGTATATATTTTAGGTTAAATATGTGTTGTGAATGTAAATAGTTCAATTTCTGTGCTACATCTTCTCGTGTTGTATTTTAGGTTAATTCATTTCTTTGGCTCCACAGCCCAATACAAGCCTTGACCTTCCAGCAGTGATCGGCCATGCGATAAGAGATTCGTGTGGTTAGCACAAAGACATCCCTCCACCACGCTGTTCCTCATAACCTTAAGGTAAGCTTTCTCATCGCCACATAGCAATAGATACTGGAGCATTTGTAAAGAAAGCGCTAATTTATAATTTTGTTCCGGCCGGGAATCAAACCCGGGATTGCGTCGTGGAAAGAGAACGGTAAACAATAAGCCGCCGATGGCCTATTTGGATTAATATTTTTTGTATATTCATAGCACATTGATGCTATTAAGCGATTTCCAATGTAATATATTTATTCCAATGTTTTCTTTTAATTAGGGATAATCTGATGGTAGAAGAGTGTGTGAATTTTAACCATGTATTGGAATACGTTTCGAAGAAAGTTGTTCTTAATCATTGGAATGTCATAAATTGTGTAAATTGTGTAACATTGTTAAAATCAATAGTAAGTTTTACTGCATTAACATTTTTTTATTGAATAATATATTATTCTTTTTCTTTTACCTGATTGTCACTAATTAAAGAATAACGTTGTAATAAAGTACACCACACAACCTCACTGACATCCATTTATTTGCCGTTCGAGCTACTTTGTTACGTATTTGTGTGTAGACATTACTTACGGTATTATTTTCATATTTTGTTTGGATATTTAAGTCAAGTTTGATGAGAAAGATGAAAATTACTTCCACACCCACTGCACACTTCAACAGTACTCCTTGGTGTACAAGCGAGTGTGACCTTAAGAATCAAAGAGCATTTCTCGGGGAGATGTATGGGTATGTAGATGTAATGCTCGTTGCTTCATCTGCGCGAAGGAAATGTTCTGGGTAAACGTATGTGAAGTAGGTGACCTAATCGAATCTGCTACTAACATATAAGTCTGCAACTGTAGGTAGATCGTACCTGAGAATATTGCAACAACATATTTGTGTCGAGAGCTACCAGATATCATCTAATCCCATCCAGATAAACGTCTATCAATCAATTAATGTTCTGTTTATCTGAATATTAGGTAGAAAACTATTGGACATTTTTATGAAAGAATGAATACATATTGAAACTAGGGAGTGCTTCAGAATGGCACAGTCTTTCCGGTATTAGTTTTCTATTTTCTTTGGTCTCGGTTAGCTATTCGAACTTGCCACATAATCTTATCTGTTGCCATCTAACGCCGTCCAAATTACATTTTTTAACATTAAATTTTAGGTTTCCCAATTCTAGAGCGAAAATATTATTTTAAGATTTGTAAGAACAGTAAAACTAGTCCTAAATAGCATTTTTCTTTAAAAAATGTGGAGCCGTTTTTAAAATACAGGCGTTTAAGCGCTACAATAAATTCGAAATTTGAAGCTTTTTCACAAACATTTATTGAATTTTCGAGAAACTTAATTTGAAGTAATTTTAAGTACGTTAACTCACAAATACAATAGTGTTTACAAATTGCTGGAAATGTGTATACCAACGGTGTGAGAGGTCTTTCCAAACATTTACATTTGTGTAATTTTTTAAAGAAAAAATACACCGCAATAAACTTTACGTTATATTAAAGAGTGCAATGCCACTATCAGTTCGAAATGTTTGAAGAAAAACATTGGAGCCGTTTTTGAAAAAATTGGCGTTTGTGCGTTGAGTTTTCGAGAAACTTTATATTACATTATTTAAAGTACATGTACTCATAAATACAATAATGTGAACAAATTGCCGCTAATATAAATATTAATGACATGAGAGGCAATCACAGTGGTAATAGAGACATGAAGTCAAGCGCCGAGGGCTGCGATTAGTTGTTGTTTATTTTTACAAGTGTCAATTGGAGAAATGAAAAGACAAGCATGAATAACTCGTGCATCGTTGAACTCACATTTGAACCTTGACAATGCTTCCTTAGGCTCAGACAAGTAACAGATGTTTAAGCAAATATTCCTAAACGCTGAGTAAAACATACGCGCATGCTTTTCCTTCTAGCAACAAGTTTCATCTGCCATTCTCAAGAATATAATGATAACCTTTGAAATTTTTACACAGGAATAGTAAAAACAAAATCTGTTGCAAGATTAATAAGGAAGTCTTTCACAACTACATTTGGTTAGTTTATATAATACGATACCACATAACGCATGCCCCATTCATGGCAGCTCAGTTATCTTTTAACATTTTTAGTGCAGTTCTTTTGAAGATAAATCCTATTACACAACATTCCATACTAATGAAACTTTACACAGTTGATAGACATCATCCATCAACCAAAGTTTTAATGCTATTCTACAGAATCAGATGCATTTTGTGGTTTTGATATGTAGGAAAATTTAATTTTGTAGATATTACATAACTTATTTATTTTCTGTAATTATATATCGGTATTTCCCCGCTTAAGTTTCAATAATATTTTCTCCCTGGTGTAATACGTTTGAAATAATTTTTATAAACGAAGAGTGAACAGATAATTTGAAGAGAAATCATGAATTCTGATGAACTCGAACGGCGGCATCAAATATTTTACAATTTGTCACGCAAAATTGGGAGTTTTCGCTGGTTTACTTGTCTTCTAGACAAAACATTTCACCAGAGTCCGCAAACATCCACCGCCCATTACGACGCACTGGGCTTGTAAACTCCGAAACCTTTGGAAATTAGAGACACCGGCCGAATTGCGCGACGAGGAAATCTTTGTCTTTTCTTTAAAAAAATTACGGTCATCACTGTTTGCGTAGACCGTACCAGTCATGGTGGTAGCAATAAGACTCTGCCTTTTGTGAGATCCCAAGTTCATACTTTCGACGCTTTCGTACGTGATACTTTAATACACGGTTTCCTCTTAAAAAAAGAAAATTAAACGTTACACGGGAAAATTATGCTTGGATAACACGAGGGATTAGAACAGCACGTAAACCAGAACGAATTCTATATTTCATTTGTAACTTATCTTATATTTTCCAACTCTTGCTTTCAAAAATACAAATCATTAAGAAATGCCAAGAAGTAAGATAAAATCATGTAAAACGGTCAGAATATTTTACACGCAAATAATTAAACAAAGTAAAGTGAAATATAGTATAAATAATGATCACACCAATAAAAAAATGTAGCAAATGTTTCAAATGATAATGATATATATCCAGCAGCAGTGGCTAGTCTCTCCAAATAATATTTTTTCTAGAATTGCGGTTGATCTCACGAAGGGTTTAGAGCCATAAAAAGATGTTTCCAAAATATTTTGACACTGCTTTCGAAACCTCTTTCCATGAAATTCTCATAATACTCGGTAAACTAAAAAGTAAATGTTCGGCCGGTTTCAATGAATTTCCTTATTGCTAATTAAAGACTTTTGCGCCTGTCATTATACATCCGTTTACTCACATATTTAATGCTACCTCATGCACCTGAATATTTCCGGATATTTTCAAAACAGCTGAGATTAGGCCGTTCTGTAACAAGGCAACAAAAGGAAATTAAAAATGATTGGCCTATTTCTCTTTTGTCAGTTTTTAAATACTATTCTATGTATGAACGGAAACTTTGTTTAGTAAATACAAAGCCATTTCCGTTTGCCATCACGATTTTAGAAAATCAAAGTCGTAAACAGCATTTTTTTCTTAACAATGTCGCCCTATCAATGGATCAAAACAAAGTACCTCCTGGAATGAATTTAATTCTCTAAAAGGCAATTGACATCATTGATCATAAACTTTTGCTGTCAACATTACCTTCGAATGGAATTTGGGGTATTGCACTAAATTGGTTATGTTCCTATCTTAAACAACGATCTCAGAAATTAGAAATACCGCACCGAAATAACATTATTACTCAAGTTTCCAATTCATTTGTAATTGCACATGGGGTCCCGCAGGGTTCAATCCTTAGGTGCTTTTTCTTCCTTATATATATAGCGGATCAGACATCGATTCGAACCAGAAGAATAGATCTCTTTGCTGATGATACGAATATGCTTTGCAGTAAAGAAACAGTAATTAATACAATATTAGATGTTCCAAATTGTTTACATGATAAATTAATAGTATACAGCAGAGGTCGTTAGAAAAAGAGAGCGAAAACTGAGAAGGCCTCCTTGTAAAAGAAAAGGGTAGGCATCACTGCCAACTGAGCCGTGACGTTCCGAGTTTAACTCGTATTGTTACCGGGCCGTGCTGTGCCGGGCTAAGCGAGAACTAGGGAGCTGGAGGATTAAGGAAAGGTGCGCGCATAATTGCCTTTCCTCTTGAGTTACGTTACGTTACGAAGCAATGAACTTTGTTACTACAGAGTTATTCAAGGATGAAATCTTATTTTCCAGATAATATAGGTGTCGGTAATTGAAAGGCTCCCTGGAGTAAGGATGTAACCAACAAAATGAGTATAAATGGAATGTAAGTCGAGTAGGACAATACTATTGATGCTCATCATCGTGGCGTACTCTTTTTTCAGATACGTGCAAAATTTCCTTTTAATTAACAGTTTAGTACCTCCGCTCCGATAAAAACCGTTCTCCGACAAGATAACACTTTGTTAAATGTGTCGCATCTGTCGCCCACCGAAGATACGTGCCTTTGGAGAAGTACTGGCAGAATAATGACTGAGCTCACTTTCATCGGAAGTATCCTCCTTTGGGTCCCCCGCGTCCGCCAGAGCTGCGCCAAGACGCAGCCCCGACAGGTCCAACCGTTCGACGGCGACCCCTCCGGCCGAGCAGTCGAGTTTGTCCTGACCGCACTCGCAGATCTCCGGGCAAACGGGCTCCGCCTCCGCCGGGGGCTCCTCCACCGCCGCCCCCGCCCGCGGCTTCGGCTTCGCCTCCGAGCTCGCCAGTAGCTGCGCCTGGGCGGGAACCACCAGCGCGGCCGCCAACAGCAGTAGTGTCGCCACTGCCGCCGGTCTACCCTGGAAAACGAATCAATTGTAATTGATAATTGCTTTAGCAACAACACGCGCGCCACGATTGCGCGCGGCGATGGTGTAACGGTTAGCGTACCGGATTGTTGTACCCAAGTTGGCGGGTTCAAACTCGATTGAAGCCGTTTAAGGGCGAAAAAATCGGAGGGGAAGTAAAGCCGGCTGTCCCATGTTCGTAGATTTACTTGCATGTAAAAGATCCTCAAGCCCAAATGACGCCTCCCAGCTAAATTCAAATCGCCTGTTTCTCGCCCAAGAAATACCTCCTTTCTCTGTTAGTTGGTGATAGGAGCGTAGCGATATTTGCGTGGTCAGATGGAAGAGCGGGCCTCATGGCCCGAATCTCGCCACGTAAAATAAGGCATTAATTCAATTCAATTCAATTCAACATAAGTAAATAGAAGTATCTAGTAGGCCAGCCTGTATCCAGTCCAGATCGCTGAGGCTGAAGAGCTGTAGCTGCCTCGGCGCTGGAAAGTCGCGCGTTCGAGTCCCACCCAGGGCATTGATGATTATTTGTGTCCGTATGGCGTTACCGTTATCCCCAATATTACTTATAGTGATCGATATAGAGCCTTAGTAGTTGAAAATCGTCCTGAAATAAGTAAAAAATAGAAACTAGTGATACTAGAGCAGCACGTACTTTCTCGCACATGTTTTCACTCAAAATTAAGCAAAAGTACGCAAATTTTCGATAAATTGTACACGAACTTATTTCAAAATCTATCTTTAAGGAACTTACTTCATTAAGGAAAAAAATCTCTAACTTTTTTATTTTATTTGTTGGAAGACGCCAAAATAATTTTCAACTTTTGCAAATTTTCGAAATATCAGAGTTTTCCACCAACATGAGGCCTGCACCATTCTCTTGCGTGTCTTTTACACTATTCGACAACAAAATTTAATAAAAAACAATAGAGCATTTTTTTGTAAAATTTGGAAAATGTCTAAGGGACTTCATGTAAAGTACCGCATCAAATTAAAATATCTGTTTCAAATTCCAGGGACCGCGATATCAGGCATCTCAATTGGAGAGTATTAATTTTGGAGAAAATTAACCACTAGCGTTGTTCATAGACGGATCGACGGACCGACGGGTAGACGCATAGATATGCAGTCGTTAGGTACCCACGAACTCGGGTAAATCAGAAAACAAAGAAAATGTTTTGATTTTTACTCAAAAGGCAAATATTTTATTGTTATGTAAACTCCACTTATTCTCTTATACTGCGCGAACCAACTGAATTATTAAACAGTGCGTTACTGCCTACTACACAACTGACGGCATATCACTGCAAGGTTCCGAGAACAATGCTTAAAGAAATATTTGCTACTCATATGTTGCGTTGCGAAACAGCATTTTCGTTATATTCGTACTGTGTAAAGAACTGTTGAACTGTACATTTACTACACTAGTATATTATTGTAGTATTCGTGAAGGCTGTTTTCGATAAAATATTTAATATACTCCAGACTTACACGAAAGTATTTTATTTGTTGTTCTTGTATAGCGTGCGTGGTAATTTTTGGAAAAAAACATTTTTTGTGTCATTTTGTTGAGCATTTGTTCTACTGGAGGTCCCGCTCACACATCGTAGAATTGCTGTTACAGCACGATTTCTTAAATTCTGTTAATTTATTTAAAACTACTATGTTGCTTCTAATATTATTAAAATATATCATTTTTAAAAAAATGATAGAATTTGAGTTTTATTTGATACTTAAACTCGTGTATCGATTTAATCTAATGTTATCTGTCAATGAGATGTAATATAATGTACATGAACTGTGTTATTATGCTCTAACTATATGGGGTAATTATGCTTTAATTGTTAACGTCATTTGGGCGATAAACAGCGATCACCTACAAAGTCTTATTTGTACTATCAGTCGTGTCATTCTGTAGTCTCTGACCAATCATCTGATAAGAAAATGTATAAACTAGAAATACGACACGTTGGAGCGAATATTCACTATAATTTCCTACTCAATGTTTCGATTCTCCTGTCAGCAAACCGTGAAATATTAACAGACAACGCTCTTTAAGTATGGCTTTCTGATTCTCTGGTTACATTAAGTCGATATAACAGAACATTATTACGAAAAATAATTGGAGCTTGTGCAGCGGGTTCATAGGTTTCTGTTTTCATATCAATTCTGAAAAACAAATGCACTATTCACGGTCACCTAAAGCATAACAATTGGAGAGAAAAATAAAGTTCCGTTAGTTATATAAAAGCACCAAAAAATATCCACACCGACCCTCGTAACGGTTCTGTTACAGGAAAGGCTGTTCTGCTACAAGTGCAATGTAGTAATATAGTTAAAGCGGGAGGTGGTTACTTAATTTCATTGTTCATCAGGACTAATGTACATAATTTCACTATTACTACACAAGTGTATTACAGAATTAGATAAAATTCAGACAAATGAAAAAACAAAAAGAAACAGGTTCTAAGCTACTGGACCCGGAAAAGAAAAGAAAGCACCACAAATAAAAATGAAAATAATTTTCGATAAACTCTGTCGTGAAAACCACTTTAATATAGTTGAATTTTGCAGAACGTTATAAGCAACTGAATTACCACAGCGTATCAAGGAGACATACTTCTCTGTTGTTTTGTGGGTCCTTGATAACGAGGAAATAGTTTACGGTAAAACGTGTCTCCAAATATAGACAACAGCAGCGCCTAAACCATTCAGAATCGTGGAATACATTTTTAATTGTAATAGTATGTCTCCTTCTTGGTGTTGCAATTCCCGCAAACACCAGTGTAGTTTCAGCGTAATTTGTGCTTGAAATTATTGCAATTTATAAAAGAAACATTACCTCAAAAAACGTTTCAAATTGTTTCTTATTTGTTATTTTTTAAATTTTTTCGCGGATAAAGCAAAGAATGCTTAAAAGAATGGCGCAAATCTCGTTTTCGTTGAACTCTCTAAATTTTCGAAAATTGCGTGTTGGGAGAGGATTAGATTTTTACGCATCGGCCCAAGTGAATACGTCAGTGTAACTTGCGTAGTAGCGAGTGAATGCGACTGACGAGAGTTGAAGTGTCAGTGCGGAAAAAGTTTTTTGTAGGTTAAAAACACTTTCATCGGTTCATGTAGCAGTAAAATATTGCGAAGCCGTTACAAACAATGCGAGAAAGTATGTGTTGTAGAACCACTCGTTTCCTATATTAATTTCCGTTAACCCTGTACATAAGAAATAGAAGGAAAGAAATACAAAAATACTGTCTGCCACGTGCAAAAATTAATGAAGTAATGTACTTGAATCATGCACATTACAATGTCATTTTTCTCGCGTATCCTATCACGATAAATTCCATATATTTACATGCATATTCCTGGCCTTCTCTACTAGCAGGTTTTCCTCAATTTTTCGACCAATGTCCATATCATAGAATTCCAATATATGAAATTGCAAGCTCAAGAACCATTCTTGACTCCCGAAGAAAGAGTTGTGCGATATCACAATAAATTATACAATTTTAGACCTTGCAAGATCTAAAAAATGTTTGCATTTCTTGATGTAATCGGTAGTACATTACTTAGTTGGCATATATGAAAACTTTCATACGCTGAAACTGAAAACTCGACACTAAGGAATACTTTGCAAAATGCATATGCCAAGTCAACGCAATTGTTAACTTGATTATAAAGACGTTCGATTTGATGGTGTAATAGCGAGCATTGAAGACTCTAAATCCAGCGATCCATATCCAAATCTCAATGTAACCTAAGAGACGTACGTGCATTCCTCGAACATGCAAGTGTGTTGAAGTAGGGAGAGAAGATAGGCTAAGGAAGAAGACAGATCGCGTGTGGTCCGTGCCTGTTTGTTTGTGTACTGCTGTGGGGAATTTTTGGAATTGCGGTATACAAATACTAGTATCAGTATTTTGTTAACGATTGAATCTTATGCGCTATTTTGCGGTGTGTTACACTCAGACACCAAGTTCGGTAACATGAATGAAAAGCGTCGAGGATGAACCAAAATAGCTATGTTGCGTCGTGTGTATAAACATCGGTCAATTATCGATTTGAACATTAATTTTGTTTTTTGTGCAAGTACAAAATACTACAACGTGTTGCGAACAGAATGCCTCATAGGTAGTTTTTCGTTTACTACTTTTCTTTTTGGATGAAGACAAATTTCTGTTTATAAAGTACTAAATAATGAAAAGTATGTTTATATCACAACTGAAATAAAGTCAATTTTTATATTTAATATAGTCTGAAATGTATACACGTTTAAGGAAGTATACCTAGTGCGCCATTTGAAATAAATTGCGAGATGATTTAAACATTTGTAAATTTCTTCGCATAAATTATTTTTCTTACATTTACAAAAAGAAACCTTGGAAGATACCGCCATTCCACTTCTTTTATCAGTGTGTGCTTCAGGTACCTCGTAAGTTGTAAGAAATTTATTTGAAACAAGTTGAAATTGATTTCTTGTAAACTAATCGATCAGCATACCATGAAGCGTGGAATACTCTTCATGCGCTTTCTGTAGTGCTGCCTTCTAGGGTCGTTCGATGAACTAATCGGTCACAAACATGGAAATGGTAACTATTACATTCCATCCGACAAATTTAAGAATGAGATTCTTTGGCGGTTTTTATCAACTTTCTTTCTGCTTGATTTATTTTTTTTGGGAATTTCGTATTTATACAAAGCCTAAAATTAATATTTAAATCGGCAAATGAACAAATACCTTTAACCGAAACACGTCAGGATATTGCGTATTTCATTTCGGACAGTGAATTAACAGAAAAATACTCGATGCATTTGTTACATACTCGTCGCATTGTGGTGAAAGTTTCGGTTATTGACAGAGTATTGAATTAAGTGCAACTTGTACACTTGAGACAAGAAATGACTAGAATTACTTGAATTTGTTCTATCTTTGGCTTACAAAAATTTCAAAAATGAAGACAATCACAATATTACCCGGTCCCTTTCAATTAAACCAAACTATTTTTCTAAACATGTGAATAAAAAACGAAAGAAAAAAAACATTCGCCCGAACAGGGACTTGAACCCTGGACCCTTAGGTTAAAAGCCTAATGCTCTACCGACTGAGCTATCCGGGCTCGCGTCTGTTTTCCTTGTCCGGTGACCAGTCGGAGCTTAGAGATTGTTCTGATTGGTGGAACACCACTGGAGGGAGATTCCTTGAAGAGGAAATCCCCCCCAAGCCGACGAGTATTTGCAATCTCACCATCCAGTGGATATGTATTGCACGTACATGCAAGTGTGTTTAAGTAGGGAAAGAAGATAAGCTAAGAAAGAAGTCAGATCGCGTGTGGTCCGTGCCTGTTTGTTTGGGTACTGCTCCGGTTTTTGCCTGGTATTGATCCGAGAACCCACGAACAGCTACCATGCAGAGCAGCCATCCGCAAGTGTTTTCCTCCAGACAACGGCTAAATTCGAGCTATCTATGCATAATCTTGCTACCTATGATGTGCTACCGTCGCACTCAACCCCTAAGACCCCTAGGACCCAACCTCCCGATCAAAGTCGCTGCAGGGACTGACTAAATGCTGTTTCTGAAATAAACTCAAGTCATTTTGTATAGAAGTGGAAGGAACAATGAATGCACTCTCTAAAATGCAGAAGCCACAAGAGTTGAAATCACTATTTTATTTTCTGTGTAAATAAAGAAATTGAGAGAAAAATTCATTGAAATTTTGGCATTTACATTTTAATCTGTGTTTCTTTCAATTGTCTATGCACGTTCATTTAACAGAGCAGTATCCTGCAAAATCAAATCAACCTACATTATTTTCGTGTCAATTTATACTCTCTGATTCGAAATAAATAATCAATCTCTGTTCACCTTATTTTATGCTTCAAGAATAAAAGATTTTAGAGCCTCGAATACGACGTCCAATCATGAAAAATAAACTTTCTTATCAATTGAACCTTCGTTATCATTGTATTGTATCGACGTCAGTCAAGTGCTATGAAGCCGGAAACAAGAGTTTATAGTGCAAATATTGTTGCCAGTGAATGTCGGTAATACATACAAAAAAAAAATTCGCCCGGACAGGGACTTGAACCCTGGACCCTTAGGTTAAAAGCCTAATGCTCTACCGACTGAGCTATCCGGGCTCACTTGTATTTTCCGGGAAAATTATTTTCCGCAGTCCCCGCTCACTTTACTTTACGAGGTCGTGTAATGTTGATAGAAAAGAAAGCCCATAATCGCTGTAGAATTGCGAGATATTAAAACTATTTGCAAGTCACAAGCGCACTTTATAGGATCTAACATTCCCAAGAATATCTTAGGCATGTAATTAAATGAATAGTTACCCGAAATAGTGATTTACACAACAGAACTCCGGTAATTGGGATTGCAGTAAAATATCTATCCAAAGTGAAACATATTCCTATATCCCTTAATACGCGAAGGCGACAGATAGTTGGCACTAGGCTGGACTGTCAACAAAAGGTAATACAGTAGCAGATTAGTTTTTTCCGGGGCAGTTGATAATTCAAACAATGGCAGAAACATTAATGATAAATATTACAACGGTACTGTCGAACATTGTACAAGATCTCGCAAGGTAAATTAATCTGAAAACACTGAACACCTGTTCAACATCATACATGTTAGGAAAGTACAGAAATAACCCTGGTTCATAATAAACGATAAAATATTACACGAACCCTGTATACTTCCTCTCAAATCTTGGATCCTTCGTCTCTCAGATAAATTTTATGCTTCACTTTTTCTTTTCCTCCTTATTCATCTTTTCAGCTTGGGAACACTTGCTTGGGATGTCTTCAATGGCTGGAAAAGGACAGAAGGAGCCCCCCTCCTCTCCCCCATGTAGCGTTAGTACTCATGATGGTTTGTGATCAAGTCATAAAACAGCAACTCTGTAAGATCACAATCCCGCAAAAGGCTGGTAACTTTACCGGGAAAAACTCTTTCTCGAATGCTTCAGGTGAAACAAGACGACCACTATAACAATTCTAATAAGAATAAGTAAAAACGATTGGAAATAACGGATGCACTAATTTTAGGTATATGGAATGTGAGCGTACTAAATAATAAAGAAGTAGAATTGGAGAGAGAGCTAAAAACAAGGAATGTAAATATTGCAGTTATTCCTGAAACCAAATAGAAGGGTAGAAGGACAAAAGATCTCTATGACTTACACATAAATATACAATAGAAAAGACACCAATAAAAGAGCGTGCAGTAGGGTAGCTTTATTAATGGATTCGAAATGCAAAAATAAGCTCTTGCGCTATACGTATTAGTGACAGGATAGTTGAAACATGATTCCAAATTCCATGAGGACATCTAACTATTCTATCATTGTAAGCATCAGAAGAAGGCAGAACAGAGAACAGTGATGCATTTTATGAACCCCTTCAAAAGATTTTAGATAAATGTAACAAAAATGATTTTCTTTTAATTGCAGGAGTTCTAAATGCCCGAGTAGGAAAACAGATAATTCCAAATGCTTTTGGGTGCTTTGGAGAAGAAATTATTAATAAAAATGGGCAAGAACATAGGAAATTTGCTACTATTAACGACTTCTAGATAATGAATACCTTTTTCAGGAAAAACGATATAAATAAATATAACTGGAGCAATGGCACCACAAAATCGCTAATAGATTATTATAGCGAATAGAGAATTAGCACCTCAAATCAGGAATATTAATGTTTACATAGGCAGTGATATATCATCCAATCAGTACTTAGTAGTCTCAAAGATCTCAATTATACCCCTATGGAAGAAAAGTATGACAAAACAGCATAAAAACGGGAAATCTATGAGCAGAGATATTTACAAAGTGCATCTCTTAAGAGGAGAAAGTATAAGAAATCTATCAATCACGTCTGAAACAAATAAACGTACATATATCTTTAAAAGATGACGTTAACTCAGAGTGGAACGATATTGAAAATATTTTAACACTTCAGCATATGAAGCTATTAGGAAAACGAGCAAACACAGAAAAAGAAAAGGTCTGAAAATCTGGAAGGATTAGATTGCTGAAACCATACGTGAAAAGAAAAATGCCTATCAAGAATTACTTCAGAAATCAACACAAGAGTTTAAAGAAAACTACTTACGAAGAAGGAACCACGCAAAGCAATTAGTGACAGAAGCTCACCATGAATCGTGGGGCCTTTTCATCAGCACAATTGAAAAAGATGTCCATGGTAGGCAGCATCTGGCTTACAAGATAATGAATCATTTAAAATCAGAGGAAAAAGACAGAGCAGAACTAAATCTAAAAAAGAAAGACGACTGGATCAAATATTATAAAGATATCCTATATGACTCAACTGTAATGGTCGAAAATAAGTCACAATACAACAACCCTCAGATTGGCCCTTTGAGCTAACATGAAATGGACTATGCACTGTCAAGCATGGAAAATAGAAAAGCTCCTGGGGTAGATGATATCAAATGGAGGTGAATAACTGACTTCAACTATTTAATAATTGTTGGAAATAATGCAAAATATCTGATGCATGGAAAGTAAAAGTCATCTCTCTTTTTAAGAAAGGAAACAGAAGCCAGCCACAGAATTACATAGGTATAAGCCTCTTGATCAACACTTATAAAGTTAACACAAAAATAATAAATAAACGGCTCACAACAATCACAGATACACTGCTAATGAAGGAACAAAGTGGTTTCAGGCGGGGAAGATCATGTACCGACAATGTGTTTACCATAAACCAAATAATTCAAAAGAGACGACAGGTCAATTTAGAAATCAAAATAGCTTTTGTAGATTATGAGAAAGCATTTGATAGTTAGTCGTGAACTTCTCTGGCAGATTTTGAAAAAGGTGCTATCCTTTCCACTTAATAGGTGTTATCAAATCCCTCTACCACAAAACAAGTATTAATTTAAAAGTTGGGAAGAAAATGCTAGAAGAGTTAGAAATAAACAGAGGTGTAAAAAACAAGGGTGCAGCTTGTCCCCCACTTCGTTTAATATTTATATTGACAACATTCGAAGGAACTGGAAAATGTTAAGTAAACAAGTATTTGGATAAATCCAATTACATCTCTTCAATCGCTTCTGTATGCGAATGACATATAATTATAGAAGATAACGAAATAAGTCCGCAAAAGATCTTGTTCCAGCTAAATAGAACATGCAAACCATATTGTCTCTCAATATCTATATCTAAAACTAAAGTGATGATATTCAGGGGCTAATATCTCATCAGAACTAAAATAATAATAGATGACAAAGTAACAGAGGAAGCAAAACATTTTAATTATATGGGCTGTGATATCACATACGACTACAGTGATGATATGAAAACAAAATTTGATATGAAAACAAACCGTTTCCAACATACTTGCGAAAGAATAAACAAATTCCTTCGCAATTAAATTAGAAAAGAGAATCTTAAAATTTTATAAAGTCATGGCAGTACCACAACTGCTTTAAGGGTGTCAATCATGGACAATAAGAAAAGAAAGATACAAGCCTCTAAAATGAAATTCCTCCGGAGAGTAAAATGCTGCACCCTAATGGATAAAATAAAAAATGAAGATATAATACAGTAACTTAACATAATTTCTGTCAATGAAAATATAATTGAAAACATATCACGGAGAGCACTTAGGAAGAATGTCTCGCGGAAGGACACCCCGACATGACGTTCTGTACAGACCAAGGGGAATAAGGGATACTGACCGCCCACGACAAAGATGGTGTTATGAATCCAGAACAGAAAATCTCCCTAACCCGTGAAGTGAAGAAGATCTATTATATATTGTATACATTTTCATGTATTATTTTCTATTTATAACTATTATTTATTTTTAAGACCATTGTAACTCTCGAAAATTAAACTAAAAAAATACTACTTAGACATGTCAGTTGCAGTTTTTGAGGTTACTTTTTAATTTTCTCTTCATATTGTGTTTTGTGTTAATGTAATTGTTCACATCCTTGAAAGACAACTTTTTTCGAACAAGGATTAATAAATATTTTAAAAAACAATCCATTTTGAATTTGTAATTATCTATAGAACTCTATTTAATTAGATTCTATTTTCGGCGGACGAAGGCTTTACTATTCATGAATGCGAATAACATAAATTTACAAAGACAATAGACATAATTAACGAATACGATAATTTCAAGAATCATCCACTAGCGATAGAAATTTATGATGAGATACCAAGGTCAGTGTGAACAGGCAGCTTCATATTTGGGAAGGGAGTGAATGCCAATATCAACGAATGTATTTGGGTCCATTCAAAAAATAAAATCATTTGTAGGGACGAGAGGATATCTGTGTGAAAAGAAAGGAAATTAGGAAAGGAGTGCTGAAAAATGAATGCCCTGACAGTATTTTTGAAACATTAGAATTTTGTATAAAGGGTTTCAAAGAAAATGATTTCTAAAATATGCCACGTCTATTACGTTTGTGACTGTCGTCTATTTCACAATTGCACATTTGTCACAAAGTTCCCATTTTGTCTATAGTCATTGTGAACATCTCTAAAATAGCATTACAACTCTGTTCGACGATGGCTTTAACTCACAAAGTAATTAATCCAGCCATAATGTTGGATATATGCTATCGAGCCATTTTATGTATACTGAATGTCGTCGAAATGATTTATAATGCTAAATGAATCACTTTATCCAGCCATTACATAAAATATCAGACCAAATGTAAGCAAATTGTTTCTCTTAAAATTTTCTTCGGAAAATTGATAATATTGCCTGCGCTTAATTTGAATAGTGTGATTAATTTCATATAAATATTATTAATTAAATTGTATATAAATATTATTAATTAAATTGTATATAAATATTATTAATTAAATTCTTTATAATTATAATTAATCTTACATTTATATTTTATTTAAAATTTAAATATTATTTAGGCGCAATAGCTGATGCGAGGTATTCAAAATTCTCCATTGTTTGGGGTTAGAAAGATGAGAGGAGCCAGACCTGTGAAAAGCCTGGACTCTTCCTGGTACTTCACTAGAGACGTCGCCTCTGATGGCAGATCGAATGGCACACCGGCAAACTACCTAAAACTTTTCCGGCGCTGGCCCTTCGCTTCGCGAGACATAGCCCCATGCCCCTCCCACCTCCACAGGGTTGGTTCCCTGATCTAGGGACTCTACTTTGCGAGCGTTCAGCGCGCTTCGTCAGGTGCGGCGCCGCGCGGCACGAGCGAGGTGCCAGCGCGCGGTCCAGCCGGCAGATAGCGTATCTGCGAGGTCACGCGCGATAACCGGCGCGCCTTCAGGGAGAGCGCAGCGACCCTCGCGGCGCGATCAGACACCTGGGCGCCCGCCGCCCAAACGCTCGTCTACCGCGCGGCGCCTCTCCCACCGAGAAGTACACGTTCAGCAGAATAGGTTTATCATTATTCGAATTATTGGGTAATTTGGATCATTGGATAAATCAAATAAGTGGATAGTTACAATAGTTTAGCAAATCGAATAATTGGATAATTCGAAACGTATAAACCGAATAATTGAATAATTACTTGAAAATATTCCCTTTAAAGTTATCTTGTCAACTCGACAAGTATCCGTTACTTTAAATTTTCGACTGTGTTATTCAGACTATTCTACTAATGAAGTTAACACAAAACACACATATATGCTTCGTCTTAATCAGAACTGTGCATCTAAAAAAAATATTATCTCGTTTCTATCCGATGTTTCATACCATATCTCTCTACCAGCCAATCGTAAGCTGCAATACATCTGTCATAGGCTGTGCACGCTGAAAGTGTGAGTTTCATTAATATAATTAATAGTTTGCTCATTCTGAACTCCGTTGGACATACTTACATTCCATTCTGTAGATTATTCTTATTCAAATCCATTTCTCCATCGGAACTTTCCAATGCACTCCCAGTATTTTCTATAATGATTTTTGAGTTAGAATTTTGTAAATTTGTCAGGAAACAAACCCTTAATTATATGAGTACCTACATACTCGAAATGAGTTTAATTTTCAGGCCCGGTTAATTTGGATCGATCGATGCTAGTCTGAAGATGAATATTAACAATCGAACTACGCGTTCCTTTCTCCGTAAACCTTGCTTCCCTGCACCCCTCCAGGACTGCACACACATTTCTACTTATCAAATCGAATCCTCTTGAAGGGGAATTAACATATGCCGGATATATGTTGGCTCTGCATATGCTGGTATGGTGTCCCAACTAAGGTCGTGTGGGATAAGAAACCCGGATAGGAGGTCTTTTCGCAAGACCCGACGACTGATCTCTCCTTGCGGCAGAAGATGTGTATCTTCGGGACATACTTGAAACACAGTAGAAAACATGTAATACTATAAATTTTGCGATTTTTTTCCATTAAAAGTAATATATTTAATATGTCAGTAGTATCAGTCATTCAAAGACGTATTTCTATGCTTCTGAACGGAAGGTCGTAGGGTACTGTTCGGGTCCCGACGATGCACTGTCGGTGCGACCGCGGTGGCAGAATTTTCGGCACTCGCTACCTAGCTAGGTCGTATTCAGCTGCTGTCACGATGAGAATTCAATAGGCCGGCTGCTCTGATGGTTTCCATGGTCTCTCCGATCAACACCAGGCGAATGCCGGACGAGCGCGATTTTTCCTTCCTCTTCCTCGCATTATTCTCACGCACTTACTCGTACAAGCTCTGCACTACCATATATGCCGGGAGACCAGTCGTAGCATTGAGTTCGTCTCAGCTAGGGCGATGCCCTGCTGGTGGAAGGTTGGGAGAAACACGCCAAGCTGACGGGTAGGTCGGCGTCGAATCTCACAATTCACGAGGGAAGATCATTGCCACCTCCCACGTTTCAACCGTGCATTACAACTAATTGAATTGAATTGAATTTGCCTTGTTTTACGTGGCGAGACTCGGGCCATCAGGCCCGCTCTTCCGTCTGACCACGCAAATTTCGCTACGCTCCTTTCACCACCTAGGATAGAAAGGAGGTATTTCTTGGGCGAGAAACAGGCGATTTGAATTTAGCTCAGAGGCGTCATTTAGGCTTGAGGATCTTTTACATGCAAGTAAATCTACGAACATGGGACAGCCGGCTTTACTTCCCCTCCGAAGGAAGGCGTACGAAGGATTTTTTTCGCCCTTAAAAATCCACGGCTTCGATCGGGTTTGAACCCGCCAACTTGGGTACAACAGTCCAGTACGCTAACCATTACACCATCGCCGCCG